AGTATTGACTAAAAACTTACGTGCTGTGCGATTACCTTTAAGTAGTGTGTCACTGACCTGAATTACGGTGTTCCGGCGTTATCTGGGACTTTAAGTTCTGAGGCTGATGGTATTTATTAAATGCTAAGGCTCGCTTGGGCACCAGGGCTTACATAAGAGTTAAATTTGTGACCCACAGCGCGCCTCCAGCAGGTATACTGGTTTGCTGACTTCATTAAATTTTATCTCAACAAGACCTGATTTATTAATTGGGTAAAGAACAGAAAAGTTTTTTGTCAATTTGCACAGAACAAATTACAACATTTGGTATAGGTTATTGTATACTATCATTATCATCGAAGATCCCTCTCATTAAAATCTTGTATCAACATTTTTTGGCGTTGTGTGCCATTTTCTTAGCCCTTCTTAATTTGCTACATAAGTTCAAAAGTAGGTACGGAACGTTCTGTTGCAAGGTGCGTAATTTAAGATGTAAGTCGCTGTCAAACAGACAAATTAGTGCCTTCTCATACGGCTTCTCTTCGAGAGCCTTAAGGTTGAGGAATGATTTGTATGTCGGCGTAGCCATGGTAATTCATTGCTGTCTGGTAGAAGGTGATGTACCGTCCTTTGAAGAATGCGGACCCATTTTGGCGATGCAGCAAGTGGATTTTCTGAGACAAGTTCCTTGATTATTTGTAATATTTGTTTATCTCTCGCTGTAAGAAATGCTGGATCAAGAAAATTTCAAAGTTTCTGTTGTCCGTCGTCTTTATCAGATAAACCTAAAAGCTTTCGCACAGGCGCAAAATTTTCCTTTGGAATAAAGTCGATAATTCGAGATTTCACCACTAAGGTAAGTTCTAAGTCTGGTACTCTTCATTATTTTATTGATCAGTATATTATTCCACCAATGCTGTATCTTTTGCTCAACATTCCACTCTTCAATATCCAATACAATGATTGACCTTCTTTCGAATGCCCAGCTCATCACGATCCAATTTTCTGGCGGCTGTTAATCTCTTGGAAGGCCTTATTAAATGCATTATTGTTTGCTACTCGCACGCTAATATTCTGGTATATTCGCCCGTTTGCACCAGTTTTGCCGTTTTATTTGCAAATGAGGTGGAGTCGCCAATGCACCATAAGCATGTAAAATCATGTATTTAATCATAAAGATATTGGCAACGAATTGAAGGAATAAATCGTTTCCGAGTATTTGGAATTAACGGTTGCATTCAGCGCAGGTTTAAAGCAGGGGTAGCGCAGGTTCAGGCCAGGCTAGCCCTCGCTGTACTCCACGCTAACGCACACGCGTTGTTTATTCGACCGATTATCCCTGTGATGTGTTGCATCATAATAACCCTGCTGTCATTCTGAAGATCGTTTTGGAATGAGGCGACATTTTGCTTACGCGTGCAGGTGCGTCTAAAATCGTTCCGAATAAGATAAAAATCGGGAATCCGAAAAAAATGAATGATATTCCAATTCACAAGATGAGTTTAATTCGCGAAAAATATTATGATTAAAAAAGTTTGTCGAACAAGTTACACAAGAACCGCTACAATTCTCGCCGGTTCTATCTGTTTCGAGATAGAACCGGTGGCTACCTGTTTCAAATTTCCCTCTGCTAAGATACTCATCACCTCCAGACCTTATGTTTATGCTAACTTGGCAGCCAAATCACCGTTTTAAACGATGATTTCGCATACCTCACTTCTGATGCCCAAGTTATACAAAACACGTTATTTTGTTGGAAATAAATTTGATAATTGGAAATAAACATATTTCTTTTGGTATATTTATTTAGACTTAGAAAGTGACAATTATTTGTTAGGCAAATATAGCAGATAAAGGTCGAAAGAACTTTTCATATACGAATAACTTGGTTTAATTTAGATAAATGAAACAGCGGTCAACTTGTCAGTATAGAATCAGTGCCCCGCCAGTCGCCGCAGGGGAAGCATAGCGGTGCGTTCAGTGGTAAGTATGGCAATATTTTCAATGATAATCAGTATGAAAGGACTATAAGAAGAAATCAAGGTTATAGTTAAATTTAAACCATTGCGGTTGATAGTTTTGCATCGGCTTGTAAAACCTTAAATAATTCTTTGTAAAATGATAATGTGTGAAATGTTGTTATGTTGATATTATCAGAACAGATATGACGTAACAGTAATTACGAAATGCATTATCATTGGAAACAGGAAAATTTTCAACATCAAAATCAGTCGGAAGACGAGTGATTGATCAGGTAGGAAAATCAATTACACAATTTCACCAAATTTGAAGCTAAGATGCAGCAAAGATTAAAGTGGTGTTAAAATTCTTCTTAAAGATCAAGTTCCACCACAAGTAACTACCCAAACCGTCATGTATATCAACGAGTTTGCAGACCGCACATCACAACACCACAAGCATCGTCAGCCACCAACGATTATGAACGAATATTTACTTTTTAATTTAATTATTCCGTGAAATTATTTGTGGTAAATTTTTACATGAAATGTCTTAGTTTACTAACGCAGCACGTCATCGATATGAATGACGTCACAGCGCTCGAGGCGATCTAGAAAGGAAGCGCTAGCGGATGCACGGCAGCTACTTAGAAGACTGAACTGTTTGCTCGCATGTCTTTGGTTTCTTTTTCATTACTTGTCTTTCTTTTCCTCGTATTTAAATACTTAGTGAAGTGCTTGAACTCAAGTGGTTATGTAGATTGAACTTTCGTATCATTTACCTTGGTACTAATTGCCGCTAAGGTTGAATGACATGAGCGATGGATTGGAGGACCAGGCAGGGGTGACTTGTTAATACCTACGGCAGGGGTGACTTGTGGATAACTACGGCAGGGGTGACTTGTGGATAACTACGGCAGGGGTGACTTGTGAATAACTACGGCAGGGGTGACTTGTGGATAACTACGGCAGGGGTGACTTGTGAATAACTACGGCAGGGGTGACTTGTGAATAACTACGGCAGGGGTGACTTGTGAATAACTACGGCAGGGGTGACTTGTGAATACCTACGGCAGGGGTGACTTGTGAATACCTACGGCAGGGGTGACTTGTGAATACCTACGGCAGGGATGACTTGTGAATTTCTTCGGTATTGGTTACTTCGAATACTAACATGACTTAAATGCAGAATGATTTTATTATTTTGAAGTGAAATAATGAATAATTTTATTTTGGCTCAACTTTCGTTGTGTTTCAGATTCGACTTATTGACGTTTTCATAGATTTTTTTGTTCAAACTATTCTTTAATCAATATATTCTTCTGATTTTGAAATTTTAGATTTCCAACATTCAGTTAGTACATGATCTTCCCGGCCCCTAATTGTCTTTAACAATACATAAAGTTAATTGCATCAACTTAACGTGCAGGCAGAAATGCAGTTCTTAAGGCAGAGTTTGGATAATTCAAAACTACAAAGATCTTCAATGAATGTTATTATTTTAGATAAAAGTTTTGGAAAATTATGCGTTAACGAACATAATTATGATTATGGGTTTGTACCCATGATCTAACGTATTGTGGGTGCAACAATCAACTTACTCATGTCACTCATGTCACTTCCTCATGTCACTTCCTCATGTCACTTACTCATGTCACTTACTCATGTCACTTACTCATGTCACTTACTCATGTCACTCACTCACGTCACTTACTCATGTCACTTATTTAAGCTTTCCTTTCTCCCCGTTTTGAATGGTTTTATTTTGGTTCAACTTTCGTCGTGTTTTAGTTTCGATCAATTGAAGTTTTCATAGATTTTTTCGGTGCAAAATATTTTTTAAACAATATATTATTTTGATTTTAAAATTGTAGATTTCCAACATTCAGATAGGACATGATCTGCTCGGCCGTTACTTGTCCTTAACAATACATGCAGTTGCATCAACTTAACGCGCAGCTAGGCAGAAATACAGTTCTTAAGGCAGCCTGCTGATTAATCAATCCAACCAAAAAGAGAATAAAAATCATCAATTATTTCGGGTCTTTTTGGGTTAGGATAAGTCTGATTTCAAAGATCTTCATTGGATGTTATTACTTCAAATTATAATTTTGGAAAAGAATGCGTTACCAACCACAGTTGCAGGCACTATATATTTTGTCCAACAAGCTGAAGAAATATATCACTGACAAATAACATGAATTGTAGAACACGCGGATCATTACGTAAAAATTTTATGATTAGATGTGAAAAGTATTTGGACTAATAATTAATTATTATGGCAAAGAATATACAACTTTTATAGCTGTTTCAGTAGAGTAACGAAGAAATTTTAATACTTCACATAACACCTCTCAATATTTTACGAATAGAATTTCATTATCACGCTGGTGCTCATCCATCAGCTGAGTCAGTTCACTATCGTATCACAATAGCAGCACATAATCGCGTTGGTACTCAATTATCCAGAATTTTTCATTATTTCCTCATATTTGCAGGTCAGCAAGTTGCAGCAGCGCGGCCCTCTCTGTAATCTCCGTCATCTCAACTTTTTTCTGCTCAAGAGCCGGACGTCGGACAAGAGTTTGACCAAACTGCTTCACTGCATGAGGGTTTCACCATTCATTGCCAATTCAAATTATGGTAATTCATTCGTAAATCATGGGACCGAAAATATCTAAGCCAAAGAGAACCGGCGCCAGGTTGTCCCGTTCATCGACCACCGCATCGAGTCGTTGTTCGTCCAGTGCAATGGGCGCCTCTTTGAAGCCTGGTCGCATTCTGCCGGTTTTATCAACACTTTCCTCCGTTCCCGTCACGCCGTCATCGAAATTGAAGACCTCCTTCTTGGGTGATATAAATATGCATGGACCAAACAATGCTACATCATCTAGTTCATCGTCTGGACTAAATGTTGCTGCAGCTGGTAATGCATCGTCAGGAACAAATGTTGCTGTATCTTCTAATGCATCGTCTGGACTAAATGTTGCTGCTGGTACTGCATCGCCAGGCACAAATATTGTTGCAGCTTACAGTGCCTGGTCAAGGCCATGTGTTCCTGCAGTTGCTACACGTGTTGTTACATCATCAGCAGTAACACCAATCGTTGCAGTGCCAACAGTGACTGCCAAGAGACCTGTTTCAACAGCAAGCCTTACAGACATCACGTACGATGATATAAACGCGTTGAAGTTCTTCATGGCGGTGCGGAGAGGCAGTCCCGTCGCCAAAGTATTCGCTGCTGTATTTGAGGCTTTGTCGGGTCGCGGGTCAACCACACTCAACGAATATTGTTCTAATTATTTAGGTTCTGATTATTTAAAGTGTTTCAGTAAGAAGGAGAGAGAAAAGCTGGTCCCCAACACTCTGCAAGATTACGACATTACGATGTTATACAAACTCCTACAGAAATGCTGCGGTTTGAGTACTGACACCAACTTCTGGGTACATCCCGGGAACTCGATTGAAAACATGTTGTATCGTCTGAAAGAACAACGTAATTTCTTCGGCCACGAAGCAGTAAAATTGTTGAAAACTGAACTAGATTCAAGACTGACAGAAATACGAGAAATTTCGGATGATGTGTGCAATAAAGCGGGAGTTGATCCAGTCACTAAGAACGAGCTCCTTGCTGAGTTAGACAACATCAGCGTCTCAACGAGTTTGCAAGCGGAATTTACAGACCGTAACGCTCAGATGAAAGCATTTAGAGAAGACATTCAAGACAGTATTCTGGTGAATGCCGTCGCAGAGTTGAAAGAGAGGTACAGCAAAATGCGAGTTCTTTCGCCCATTACATGGTTTGTCAGTGACAAGTTGAAAAGCATCACCATCGACAAGGTATTCACCAAACTCACTATGAGTCGGAACAACACCAGTGTTGACATTGGAAAAGTTCTCGTAGTCAAAGACGAGCATGGATCCGACTACTCCACAGTTGTCATCACCGGCATTGCAGGCTCTGGTAAAACATCGCTGTGCAGGTTCCTCATTTACAGCTGGTCAGGACAAACCGGCGAAGTAGAGGAGCTGGATGAGTGGAACCTGTTGATGTTCATTCAGTGTCGGTATGTCAAGTCCAATGGTTTTGCTGCTTTCATTAAGGAAGATTTGCTCAAAAAATCATTTTATTTGATCCCGGAGACTGAAGTAATTGAGATGCTGCAGAAGTTCAAACCATTATTCGTCATCGATGGTTACGATGAAGCAGACTACGAAGTACAAAACTTAGTCCTTGAAATTCACTATAAATTCCCCTCGGCTAAGATACTCATCACCTCCAGACCTCATGTTTATGCTAATCTGGCAGCCAAGCTTGTGCACAATCATGCTTGCCCACACCTGATCAGTCTCAAAATTATGGGCTTTGAAACTAGTTGTATTCGTGAATACTCTCACAAGCTTTTCTCTGTGTTAAATAGTGCCTCCATGGGAGACGCCTTCCTCGATTACATATTGCAACGGAACAAGCTGCAATCTATCATAAACCTACCGCTGACTCTGGCTTTGCTTATTTTACTGTGGATTGACGATCGTTCCCAGATTGACGAAGTATCTTCTGAGAGCCAGATTCACCTCAAGATCATCGAGATGATGAAGCGTCGACTTTTGACGCGACTCGGTGATATGTCTTCAGCTGTCAGTACACGCCACAATGAATTAGAAGCTAACATTGATTTCTGGTTGCACTTATTAGGAAAAGTAGCTCTGGAAGGCATTGCAAAGAATACGTTATTTTTGGACGAACGCAACATGAATTTCCTGAAAATCAAGTGCAAGAAACTCTCACTCAAGTTCGACGTCGAGGACGCTATGTCCTCCATCCTGCAGTGCGACACAAGCATCACCCTCTCCAGCTGCGAGAAGATTTAGTCCTTCATCCACACCACGCAACAGGAAATGATGGCGGCTCTCTACATCGTCAAAGAAATCGAAGAAGAAGGTAAATCTTTCACTAGTTGCATTCCTGCTCATTCAAGTGAGCCCACCGAACAAATGGTCAACGTGATACTATTTTCGATGCAGATTTTGAAAAATAATTATACGTTGACTGAAGAGACCGCAGAGTACATCGCCTCACAGTTCCCCATGTGCTACGAACAAAACGTTTTCTTCGTAGGATCTATCCTTAAAGCGGTCGCTAACGACGAAGCTTTCGTTAGAGGGCTTAAAAAGAATTTGGACACGGCCAAGTTGCCCGCTGTTTTATCTTTTGAATGTATGCCAATCATCACAAAGTTTATACAGCAAAAAATAATGAGTTCTGACGTGAGCATAACTTTCAATGCTCCCGAAGACAATTTTCAAAACGCTTTAAGAGAACTCAATGCTGTAGGCTGTACCCCAACTCTTGTTCTCAATACAAGCTGGGACGACATTAAATCTTTCATCAAATTCTTGAAGGCCGGAAAGAACGGCTTGCAGGCTCGGTTTATCTTCTTTTTTGGATTGTCCATCAGCATGGCGGCAGTAGAGGAGCTGGTCAGAGCGTGGGATTGGAAAGAACCTTTAAAATTTGGCGGTTCACTTGATTGCAGCGCCACGCAAGCATATCTCTTGGTTCATCGTGCTCTGATGTTTGAAAATATAGAAAAAGTCTGCTATTCTTCGCCCTCCGGGTCAGAACTCGAAAGTTTCTTTGAAAATTTGAAAAGGCATGGTCTTGAAATTGAGCAACTGTCGCCCACAGACGACCTTTGGATAACAGTGCACAAAAAGCCAAGTTCGAGCTCGGAAATAAATCTGTTTCCACGTCCTAGGTCCGCTGCCTTACGAGTCCGTAGAACAGGTATTATTTCCGTCGGTGACGTGTTCCCCGAACACAGAGGGTGTGAAACGCGTACTTTGAGTTGGATCGCTTAGTCCCATATGAGTAACGTACGATGACGGAGGCGCTGTCTTGGGCCATAAACTAAGCTATTCAATGTCAATGAGAGTCAATGCCTTGCCTCAACATGAATTAACAACACTCAGCCTCAGAGCTAGAAGCCGCAGACTACGCTAGAAAACCGTAATCCAGACCAGTGACACACTGCATACTGATAATTCGCCGTAAATCCGCAGTCAATGCTTTAGCATGCCTGCACTTAAGCAGGCAGTTGTGCATCCAGCCTCACCTGCTCTGGCCTAGTCCCCTCAGGCCTAACGTACTCACGCCACAGCGACTCTCCACCCTCTCCCAACCAATGAGATTTGGTTAGGTCCGGCCAGCTATGTTTAGAGAGTCGGCGTTACGTTTGTAGGTTATGCCGAATTTAGAACAGCCTGCTCAAGAGCGAGAATGCTTCAGCACCATATGGGGACCACCAGTGAAATTGCTGTTAAATGTGCAAAAATGCCGTATTTCTATTCTCATTAACTTATGATGTCGAACTTTGCACTGTCCTTATCTGAGATAACAAATAACCCTGATGTTCAAAGTTTAAAAAAAGTGCGTAAGTAAGAATTCTGGATTTATTTTTTTATTATTGGATATTATTGGATTTATTCTTTTATTCATGTGTTAAATGTATATGATGTATTTTGTTTGTACCCTCTTTAGTTTCTCAGAGGTTGTATCTCAAATAATATTATGAATTACGTATTATGTTCAAAAATTATTAACCATGAATTTTTAATTTCGAAACATGTCAGGGTAGCGTGCCAGTGTGGTGCTGAAAATTACTATGGTTTATTTGAAGGCAATTTTTAGTAGACATATTTCAAGAAATCGACACTCGTAAATATATTTCTTTCAATGAATTTCTGGAATATTTTCATCGTAGCTACATAAATCTGTGGGAGGCCGAAGACTCTTTAATAACTGCCTATAGGACATTATTGCATGTAAATTCCCATCAACTTGCTTATATACGTCAGACACTTAAATCTATCAGTAACAATTCTTCATGTAGCTATCATTAAAATACCTGCACCATAACGCTATTCAATATTTACATCAGATTCCTGTTCTGTAGTGGGAAGAAGTCTGCGTCATAATAATTCTGATAAATTATGGCCATTCCTGTAATGCTTATAAGTACTTAGGACGACTTGAAATTACCGAGAGTGTAATGTTAATTAATTGAGTCATAAACGCTGTATTATTATTGTATTAATAGGTGTATTCAGTGAGAATTATGGGTTCATTTTGGTTATGGGTTCATTCAGTCATGAGTAAAATTTAATCAATGATGGATCATCACCGAGTAGGCGAGCAATTTAATGTCAAAACTTCGCCATCATTATCAGAGTACCAATTGGAAGTTAAAAAATTTCTACATAGAAATTTAGACCTCGCTTAAACCCGGTAAAAAAATTGAGTGCGTTTCGCCGGTGTTTTAAAGTACATCGGCGCTGCAGCGCAAAAATGTAAATAACCGAGAACGCGCTGACTTTCATGCTTCACTAACTGATTGAATTTATCATATTTGGGTTATTCATGATAAATATTTATGTAATTTTTATTGCTAGATTATTTTTCACGTGAAGTTGCACCAATGTCTTCAGATAATTTCATCAATTGAAAGTTATGCTCACGTCAGAACTCATTATTTTTTGCTCCATAAAATACCGTCCAAATAAGAAATAAATTACTTTACGAGTTCGTCAGCTATACCTTGCAGAATTTAAACTTGTTGATATTTTAAAAAAATGATTGACCAACACCAATGATCTAATAATATAATTAATAATATAATCAGTCGCGTAAATGCGTAGTAGCTATAGCGACAACCAATCAGATTTAACCAGTAAACACTGTTGTCATTTTTGTGCCGCTTGGCCGAAATATTGAATCACAGCTATAGCAGATGGCTGGTCATCCCTCAAAATGTGGTGGCCAAAGAAGAATAATAATATTAATAATGATGAGACAACAGAAGAGAATACTTTATCAATGCAGAAAATATGTTAAAATAAACACGTGGTCGTTGGTTCATCACCATCCTACTTTTTGAAGATCCTATAACGACTTTAAATCGAATTACTGTAAATTTTCAAAAGTATTCAAAATGTTTCTAAGGAAGAAATATTCTAATTGCGACTCTTACCAACTTAGCAGCTTTTGTGCTCAAATTTTCACATGCTAAAATTTTTCATCAAAATGTGCTCACTGCTTTTCGTTTAAAACCAGCTAGAGGATACATACCGAAGAAGCCGAAGCTTTGAATAGGCGTGACGCCTTTCGTGTAGTGCACTTCGCCGAAAGCTTGTAACCCGAATGGCCCACAGAAGTCTTGGAGGTTATTTGCGAGAAGGTTATACACTTTGTTTGGAGATGAAAGACATGCCTGAAGATTTCTATCGTACGCCTTGAGATCGCCATTTGCAAACCAAACTGTCAGTAATTAGTAGGCATTAGTACGTTCCTTGGAATAAAAATATTGTACGCCGCTTTAAGTTCAAACGTATTGATTAATGAAATCAACTCTCAAACATTTCAGATGATAACGAGTCAACAGTGTAAGAATAGCTGAGATCCGAACGCCTTGACCACGCGCGGCACTCGTCCCGACCTTATCGATTTGGAGGTCATCGCTGCCGCTATAGTGACGCAATACACATTTGTCGCTGTTACTTCAATTCGGCTGAGGTAGGAGTATTTCATATCTTTGTCTACTTCTACTAAGTTCTTTCAATGTAAAATCTGATTTTATACGCGAACTTCTTTTCTCATTTTAATTGAAGTACTGCTAAAGGAATTTGTTATATTATTATTTCCACATCATGAACGAGCGTTCTATGAGGCTAATAAAGACACCTATTTAATCATACCTCTATCTTGATGAGCTAAGTTTACCTGGACTGAAGCGCTCAAAGTACGCAGTTATCTGCACTCCATCCACTGTTTGGAAGGTTGTTTGTAGCGTCTGGAACGCATCTGTTGTTTGACAGTCCAAGTCCAAGTGGGTATCGCGTATCGGCACCTCAATGACGACGTCGTTGTAATTCAGCATCGAGTTTTTTAAAGCAACATTGAAGCCCCGGATGAAATTGCAAGGGTCACCTGAAGGTGTAAAGTTTTTTAAATAATGTATTTTAAACTTCTTGCCACGAAATTAAATACATTTAATCTCCAATTTAGATCTCGAATAATGATGGTAAAGGCGAAATTATCTGTCTGTCTAGCCCAATATATTAGCATCATTAACAATTTGGGTTTTTTAGAATTCGATTATTTTATAAAAATTCAGTTGCTAGACTCGACAAGAACCTCCTAAAGTCTGTTTGAAATAAACTTTTTGAACTACTGTATATAGCGCTTATCTGTAATGCCAGCTCCGGATTTATGACCTAGAGATGTCCGACATCATGTAGCAAATGGCTACTCGCTCAACCCATCATCAAATGTGAGTAAGTCTTCAGATAAGATGAACTAATCTTTTATAATTTTACGATCACTGACAATGAACATAATTCAAAAATTCTGGTTTGAATGAACGGAGTAACCATTTTCAAGGTTTTCCGTCTTGTTTATCGCTTCTAACTGTATCCTTAATAATTGTTAGAACCCACGTATCCACGCTGATTTGTTCCTGCCAGGAAATCAGATTTTGAAGATAAATTTCCTATACAGAGCAGCAAAAATGTTACTGCAATTCATACGTGCAAAGTCTCACTCTGAATGACGCCTCCAAATGAGAGGTTGGAGTACGTATACGTGTTGAAGTAGGAGAGTGCCGAAGGGTTGACCACGGGTGCTGCCAAAATTTGGACACCAAAATTAACGCTTTAGAAAACTTTCTGAATTTAAAAAGTGCAAATTATTCAATGAATAAATACATTATTCGATTTGGTAGAAATCAGAATGGTAGACAATGCAAGAATTTCATGTGAGTCATGACAAAAACTTATCGCAATTACTCAGTGCTTCATTCTCACCTCCTACTGGGATTTGGTACAGGCTGCTGGGTCCCCAAGGCTGCCCCATGAAGAGACCGGTCAGCACGAAGGTTAAGTTTGTACAAGACCCGTTCACTTTTGTCGCGACCGTACCCCCACTCGACACAACCTTCGTTTGGCCGTCAAACTGGAGCTGGTACGTTGAAACGCACCGACTTGTGCTCTGGTCGTTGAAAGTGACAATAAAGCTCACATCCGGGCCGTTGTACGTTGCACTGATTTTGAAGTTCGACACCATCGGCTCTGTTGGTGGACAAAACCATATTAATTCTTGATCAATAAAAAAGTCCATCTCATATCTCACTTTTTGTAGGATGTAGTAATAGTAAAATTTGTAGGATAAGTATTAAGTCTCAAAATTTCAAAGAAAATTTTGCGACTCGTGCGAAAGTTTATTTCTTCATTGTTGGTTTCTGATGTACAAAAATTCAATTGTGTAACCTATTCGCTGTAGCATCTTTCCGACCGCTGCCAGGCAAATCATTTCTGTGCGACCATTTACAGACATGAGGTTTACCGTCTCATTTGAGGTTCATAGATAAGAACATTTGGATACCAGTGAGTGAGTACCACTTACTCGTCGACATAGACAAGAACATTTGAATACCAGAAATCTAAGCTAATCGAGCATTCAAATTTATCGTTAGTTTATAGTTACATGAAAAATTACTCAACTTCCTCAGTAAATTAAACAGTGCAGAAAGATGATACACAACATTAAAAGTGAGAGGCAAATTATTCAATTTATTCAGCCAGAAAATCTAACTAAATAAAAGTTCACAAGGTAGCAATATAATTAATGCTGAGCCATCAAGATCTTCCCTGTAACAATTGCCGTGTTTTGTTTCAATGAATCACGCATGAGTGGTACGTAAGTAAGAGGAATATTCTCATAAGAAGAGGTTCTATGTTATCACGACCAAGAATAAAAAATTATTCGCTCATTTGGTTTAAGTGAAAATGAAATCATCAAACTTTAATTTCATCAAAATATTTAGTTTTTAACCTCAAAATATTTAAGATCATAAAGAGTGCACCGTGAAGGCATTGCCCAGGATGACGCCATCCTAGCCGCTCGCGTCCCCCCGACCGCCCCAAATGAGTTCATACCGAATGACTGCGACATAACGCGCTTTTGTCGCTGTAACTTTGCCAAGAGTGAACAAAGTTACCACTTTTCTCACTTTTTCCTCTACTTACTCTACTTCTTGCAATGTTAAATCTAATTTTGTACGAGTATCTCACCCCTTAATTATATGAAACAATGTCACAACAATTTCATTGAGATATTATCTTAATAGCACAAACTAGTACCTTCACGAATTTCAAAATTACAAATATTTGATTATTGTCCGAGATCAATGAACATGATTTACGTGGATTAACTGTTGGGAAGCTCGTATTTATCTGCACTCCGTCGACTCTTTGGATGGTTGTTTGTAACTTCTGGAAGAATTCTATTGTTTGGCAGGGCAGGAGCAAGTGGGTGTCGCGTTTCGGCACCTCAATGACTGTGTCGTTGTGGCCCACCATCGATCCTGTTAAAGTCGCTTCAAAGCCCCTGATGAGATTGCATGGATCGCCTGCAATTGTAAAATTTGTCATCTAAAATACCTCTACATTACTGCAGAAAAGCCGGCGTACATGAAAATTTTAATTTAGATCTTCAATCCCAAAATAAAGAGCGAAAACTCTCCTTAAATGGTAACCCATTTCTTACATCCAATAAGGAAGAGTTTTAACAACTGCTTTAAATAAACATAGGTACATAGCACTGTGTAAAGGCCCTTAACTATCGCTCACGGCTCCTACTGTATTCTCACATATAATTTCAATTTGTACTCAGGATTCCAATCAAACTTCACAGCAGCTGACCTTGTTTTTGACTTAAATTTAAGCATTAATATTACCACGATTTAATTAGAATTTAAAGTAATGCAAATGAATAAATTTATTGAAACGTGATTAAATTGGCTATTGCTTTGGCAATAAGCTCCCATTATGTTTCGAAAGTTGCTTGTAAATTTGTTCTGTTTGCTTGACCGATCATCACACTCTTTGATGTGTTGTTCACAAATATTTCTAATATTTTTTGAGGGAGATTGCTTCCAAACTTTAAAGGCACAGAATATATTTATCGTTGGCTGGTCAAAATTGTGGCAGCATAACTCGTAAATCAATCATTTAGGCTAAGAAGCTATCGCGAATGCTATTCGTGATCGTGATAGCGATGATAGCGATTCCGCTATCTGCGCTTGATTTCGCACCATAAATTTTACGCCACGTCGCTGGTTTAACATAACAGCGGTTTCAGCGTTTTTTTAGGCCAGAGGCCTGTCGCCGATTCTTAACATCGCAGAACATCCACAGCTTGTTGCGGTCTCGAACTCACAACTCACTGATTCAAATTCTGCTGTGCTTAACCGCCCGGCCTCCTTGCCGATTCTGACCAGAAACTGGCGCCCAGAGCTGGGATCGAACCCGTGCCTCTCTGCGCCAATCTTGGTACTCTGAACTTTAACCACTGGGCCACCCTGCATCGTCTCACTCTGAATCACGCCTGCGAACGACAAGTCGCCTCCGGACGCATTCAGCGCGGGGAGCTGGTAGGTGAGCGCTGAAGAGTTGATTACTGGGGCCGGCAATTCTGTGCACAAATTTCACGGATTAGAATTTTCAAAAGTAAATGAGTGTAAAATGTTCCAAGAAATCTCTCCTGGTTAATTCGCTGAAACTCGAAGTAATGAACAAACATTATAAATGAGATTCTTGACAAAAATCATTAACAATAACTTCGCGTTTTCTTTTCACCTTTTACTGGGATTTGGTACAAGCTGCTGGGCCCCCAAGGCTGCCCCATGACGAGGCGGGTGAGCACGAAGGTTAAGTTTGGACAAAAGCCGGTCACTTCTGTCGCCACCGTACCCCCGCTCGACACAACCTTCGTTTGGCCGTCAAACTTGAGCTGGTACGTTGAAAAGCACCGACTTGTGCTCAGGTCATTGAAGGTGACGTTGAAGATCACTTGCGAGTTGTTGTACGTTGCGCCGATGCTCAAGTTCGACACCTTAGGCTCTGATGATTGATAAATTATTGTTAATTATTTGTCAATAAAAACGCTGATCTCATATCTCACTTTTGCTACGAAATTTAGTCAAGGTATAGGCTTTCATGCTCATCACCGTTCTCAGCGGAAGGTTTAGCCAGCTGGGTGGCGACGTAGATGACGTGGTCCCCCCCAGAGGTGCAGGAGGCACCCACGGGCCAGGGCACGCGGGTGCCCCAACACGCACCGTCATGCAGAGCAAAGGTCGTGTGGTCTGAAATGATGACCCAACTAAATTATTGGGTAGGCGGTTACCATTATTTGATCGGCATCCGAAGTATCAACTTTGGTCTCTATAATCTTCATGAAGCATAGTTTACAAAGAGGTGTAAGGCTATTAAAGTACTGAATAATATACGAGAATTGAACAAATCGAAGGCTCATCATTCACATCACTTAAAACTACTTAATGCAGCACTGACTGGTCTTGGCGGCCTGCTCCGCACAGGAGCGCAGGTCGGCCGCAGGCTTGAGCTTCTCCTCCAGGGTCTTCAGGCAGTCGTTGGTTGCGGCGGTGATGGCGCGACGCGTGTAAGTGACGCCTGACTTCGTCGCCAGGGACCGAAAGTTGACGTTGACGGACCGCGACGCGCAGGACGACATGCCAGACTTGGAGCCGTGATACTTGACCTGTTTGAGGTAATACTTGTTGTTATTTATTGAGAATAAGTTAATAAATGTTATTTTTTAAATGGCGTTTAAACAAAGAAAAGGCGTGTTCTTATGTAGATAATGCAGAGGATTCATATCACAGTTTTTAAACAACAACCCAGCAAAATGTTCACACTCACCGCGACAGTGTACTCATCAGCGCAGGTTCCCTGCAGAAGATCAAATTACCATATTAAAAGATGGATAGATGTAAGTACTGAATAAAATAAAAACAATGAACAAAATAAACTAATAAATCACAGGTGAGTAGAACTAATTAGGTAGTTACACAGTTTCAATTCTTATACCTAAACAGATTGCTGTGCAGACTTGCTCTATCAAGCCTTTCTTAAATAATCTGTTCCTAATTATTTATTCTTATGCCGACTAAAAGTTCTAAAACTCTTGCGACAGATGGACGTGTCAAGCAGTCATAAAAGTAAAGAATTTAAAACCGGATTGCCAATGACAATGTGGAACTGCAGTAGAAAAAAGTGGTAAAAGGGATTTAATTTAGCGTAACATTTAGTCGAATGAGTTCAAATTATGAATAAGTATCAGGGACTGAATACATTGTTTTTGGTGCGGGTGAGATTCAGAAAATAAGTTTACCTTGTAATTTTGTTGTTCTATTTCGTAACTGTGAACAAGGAACCTCTGATGCAGCCAACTGAATGTATGCGATGACCTCATTTCGTACCTGAGGCGATTTCTAAATTATATGAAAAACACAATTCCATACAGTCGGCATGAATATTCATTTAAAATAATAATTGATTTGAATATTATTATCAACGCTGAACTGGACAAATAAATGATGTGACGTTCTCGTTTAAGAGTTTGTAGTTACATGTATTTCCTCGAGTTACCCCCGCAAGTCATTTTCTAAGAACGGTTGGAGATTTTAGCCATTATAGTTCAGAGCAGCTACCCGCTAACATTCCAGTTACCCCCGCAAGTCATTCGAGTTCAAGTGACGAACTCGAGTTACCCCCGCAAGTCATTTTCTAAGAACGCTTGTAGATTTCATAGTTCAGAGCAGTTGGTAGTTTATTTATTTTTTAGAAAATATAATTGATATTGTGCTCTTTTTTGGACGGAAGAGGAAAAAAATCAGATAAAAAAATGTAAAATTAAATCGAAAAAGAGCCCAAGAACTGAAAAGCGTAGTAATAACTTTTTAAAATTTAATAATTTATTTTATTATTATTCTGGATCCGTACCAGTTGGAGACGTTTTGAAGCCCCTCCCCATTTTACGTTTCCTTTAGGTTTTCGCATTTTATGTATCCTAAAAAAATCTCACGAACAAAACGAGCTCGTATTATTGTTTTACATGTGTGCAGAAAATTTCAGAAAGGCCTAACAATTAGTAAAGGAATATTTTCCCCAGACCCTCACCCTTAATTACTACTCACCAAAGTCGACAGGAGGAGACAGACGGAAATTACCAACTTGGCCTTCATGGTGACGGATGGACGTTATTATTTAATTTTGAATGTGAACTGATACAAGACCTTTTAGTGATAAATAACTGTTGAAAAATACAATATTATTAATTATATGTTGCGTGAAAACTTAGCTTTAAAATCTATCTTGTAAAATATAAGGAATAGATGGGAGTCCATCGAATCAATTTCCCATTAGGTCCATCGAAATAATTTCTAGACCTTTTTAGGTACAATAAAATGCATTCGGTTGTATCAATTAAAGCAAAGAATACTCGCGACTAGCTTAAGCAAGCTGTGTAAATGTGTAATGGTCACACAAACACGCACAATTCAATAATTTAAGTTGTAAGTAATAATTATAATAAATAATATAAAATAATAATAATTTTAAGTAATTTTTAACTGATTCATAGTATTTTTTACGATTACAAACTATCTTAGCGCGTCACTTTCGTTTAATATTTGAGTTTGATATAAGATTTTATTTTTTTTTAAGTATTGCTCAGTTCTGTTTCTTCCATATCTCCTTGGATTTAGAGGTTAACCAACCGTAAGTTCGTGTCAATAGGAACAACGGACGATTATTAGTTGTTACTGTCACTAGTATATTGTAAATATTGATCAAATCCTTCGTTCCCACATACACGGCGCAAAAATCAATCCATCAAAATGCAAGCAGGTCATAATGTTAATTAACACCACACTAAACACAATGCACAACAATAAAGTCAGGCTCCAGAAGCGCTGCCTAGGACCACACGTACAAAAAAGTCTCATACGTAGACCGTTTCCGTACTATGACCGTTAATTAGCCGTACGGCAAATCCCTGTCAAAATTTTCGTGCCGATTAAGGTCGTTTTAGAGGAACTATATTCGGCTTAGGGGTGAATCAGGAGCACCCTGTCAAAATTTTCGTGCCGATTAAGGTCGTTTTAGAGGAACTATATTCGGCTTAGGGGTGAATCAGGAGCAAGTCGGCCACGTAGGGTGTTTTGCTTCTATTTACCAGCCTCTTTTGGAAGTCAATTGCCCGGTAGGCCAAATCCTGTCTCTTATACACATCTAGATGTGTATAAGAGACAGGGGGGGAAGGGAGGGGGCATTTTTTTAAGCATTTTTCATATTCGGCCGTGTCTGTCCCGAACGTATAGATGTGTATAAGAGACAGCCCCACGATCGCCCCAAGCTCGACGAGTAATTTCACAAGATTCCATTTCGGCGCTTATTTCGCTACGGCAACCGGAACCTAATGCGGACATAGAGCTTCTAATTTACCCGGCCATAAGAACTTGGGGCGTCCGCGTGCCAGCGGCTGACAGGTCTTCGAATTTCGATAGGGATTAACCATAAATTAAATCAGAAAATTGAGCAGCAAAAAATACCGATCAAGAACAACCAAACATTTGAAGAAACACACACAGCACTAGCCAATTCACACGAAACGCACATAATAAATCCACCACAGAGACAGTAAAGAGTTTATGTTTTCGCGATGTGACCAAGAACTTAGACAAGAAGTGGCACACCGGACTTGTATACAAGATGATCCTACTAAACCATAACTCGTCCTTTACACAAACTCCGTCTTACAGGCACAACTGCATCCCTCAGAATAGGCAATGTCTTAGGATCTCCACTCCAAGTGCACGCATCTGTCCAACTGGCTTGCTTCTACCAGCCAAAAATACAAAGCCATCGCGGATTTACACAAAATATACAGACTTTACCATCTAGAGCCGAGCATCAAAATCGCCTATGTGCCGCAAAGTATAATATGACGTAGGGCGTGGGTGTACGTGGCACGGGAAAGCGACACGTGTGAATGACTGCGCACTTATACATTTTTTCATATTTCCACATTTACAGTTTACCATTATTTCAGATTTATATTTATTTCTCAGTTCATATTGTTGTAGGGTAGAAAAGTGTGCTGTTGGGTAGAATCATAACATTTAATGTACTATATTTTTTGTATTATATATGTGTTTTTCTCCTGTATCACGCTAGCCTTGCATCCAAGTAACTGTGATTGGTCACAGCTGTGACTGGTTGTGATGTCATCCTCCCAGACTGTGATTGGTTATGAAATTGTGATTTTATCCTATTCAGACTGTGATTGGTTGTGTGATGGCCTTTCCAATATGCTGTGTGTTTTGGTTAATTCAATACCCCTGTAGAATTCTACACTGAGTCCAGGTTTACATTCATTCATCTATCCGCGTAAAAAGTTTTTCATTTGCCTACGTTTAAATCTTTTCACCAGTCCACATTTACATTTTTATCAGTCCACAATTATTTTTTTCGTGAGTCTACATTTACAATTTTACTATATACCATATTTTCCGTTTTGAATTAATCCGCATTAAAATTTTTCATCAGTCNAGTCTACTAAACAGTTTTCACCAGACCACATTTACACTCTGCATCAGCCCACTATACAGTTTTCATCAGACCACATTTATGTTTTTAACGTGAACGTTGGCAAGTGTATTTGCTGTCTCGTCCTGCAGCGGCGCAGCTGCTACTCAGTTTAATTGCGGGTTGTGTTGTGTGGTTCAATACAACCAGGTTTTTATGTTTATACTTCGATCATTTCATATTTTAAGCTATAAAATAAAACTTGTAGATTTGATTCGTGTTCTGTTAAGAAAAATAATAATAATAATAAGCCAAGTAACTAAGTAAATTCATTACAGTTCCATCGAAAACGTTCTCAGTGACATATGGTAGTTTATTTGCCGTATTCTATGCTCTCAAATTCTCCTTCATAACAGCTTATTTTGTGATTTTGCAATTTTGGCGATATTCTTTAGCAAAATTTTGCAAGGAAAATAAGATTCACTGTCCTTTAATTATTAATTGTTTGTTCTCCCTAAACTGTATGTTTAACTTTCAGTTAAACTGAAATTGTATTTTAATTTGTTTGCTATAATTTCTCAAATTGAAATATAAGAAAACACATTAATCCTATAAATGCACAATTATTTCTTGCATGAAATTCAAGTAAACTATTTTTAGGGGGCTACAATTAATTTGATTATTAATAATTAATTTATCTTTCTAGTCAAAAACAAGTAGAAATAGAATCCTGGTAATTTTCATGTACAGCAATAAAAGCCTTCAAGTTTCGTACAGATTATCAAGTGTCAAGTTCAATTATTGAAAAGTTATGATGGGAAAACTGAAAATTTGTTTTTTACTGAGCCCTAATAATGTAATGAATCATAGAATTATTATAACAACTTTTTCACCTGTAAAATATGCGATGAGGAAGTGCACAATCGGTAAGCACACCCTTTTTCTTGTCCTGTTACTTGTTGGAAAATAATTTATTATTATTTGGAAATCTTCCATTCATCAGAAAATGCATGAATTTTTGCAAATTGGGTTATACAAATAAGGGCTCATTTTAATGCCTTCGCAATGTTATAGAATTTGTTTCGTGCAAATGTGTGTCATCATAAGCATATATATGAAGAAAATTGGAGCTAACAACAGTGCTGAGGAAATTGAATGTCCAATAGTTTGATCACAAGTGATGATTTTAAATGTATTAGGTCAATACATAGATGATTAGAAACTAGCAAAAATAATTTTTAACTCTACGAACCTAGCTACTAATATTTCACTAACTTTACTAATGATGAATTAAGGATAGCAACGAAATCACCGTTGTTAAAATTGCTAGTTCGAATTCCTATTTCAACGCGGTTGTTGAAGGTTCTATCATTTCTGATGTTAAAAAATTCCTGCCGTTACCAATTCCCCGCATATTAAATGCCAAAATGTACATGCCGGCATTAAGTAGGGTGCATATTCTACTGCCTTTGTAGAAGACAAATCAAATCGATAAAACATTAGTATTGTGTTTAAAAATCCATACATGTTATAACTACTTTTTTCCGTTTAAATTTAAACCGTGTTTACAATGTGCCAGGACTTCCATGCCACGGAATAGATGGAGGCTTGCACGTCTGGAATGGTTCTTGGAAACAAGTTCTGGTCTCTTTTACAGGGGTTATGCCGTTCTAAGTGATAACTTTTTCCTCCTAATTTTGTGCCTGTCCCAGCAATTACTGCATCGCTAAGAAGCACTGCGTTGAAATTAATCCAACGTTGAGGTTAGTTCAACGACATTAATACGACGTTTAAATTTGTTTCAGCGATGAAATTAACAAAACGTTGATATTAACACAGAGTGGAATTTAACGCAACGTTAAAGTTACGTCAACGTTGAAATTAATTCACCGTTGAGATTAGTTCAACTATATTAATACGACGTTTAAATTTGCTTCAACGCCGAAATTAACGCAACGTTGAAATTAACACATGTCGTAATTAACGCAAAGTTGCAATTAATTCAACGTTTAATCAACGCACCGCCAAAGGTAACGCAACTTTAAAATTATTCAACTTTGATTTAATTTAAATTTTTGAATTAATTTCAACGTTACGTTTATTTTATTTTTGCGTATATCCAACGTTGAAGTAATTTCAGTGTTAAATTAATTTCAACGTTTAAATAATTTTAGCGTTTAATTAATCTCAACGTTGAATTTATTTCAACATTGAATTAATTCCATCGCTGAATAAATTTCAACATTGCGTTGATTTCAGCGTGACGTCGATTCAAATGTTGTGATGATTCTAACGATGCTTTGATTTAGGCGTTGCGTCAATTTTGCGTTGTTTACTTCAACATGGCGTTAATAATTACGTTGTGTTGACTTCAACATTGCGTTAATTTCGAAGTAGCGTTAATTCCAACATTGCGTTGATTTCAACGTTGAATTAATTTCAAAATTGAAATAAGTTCAACGTTGTATTAATTTAAACGTTCGAATTTTTCAAGTTCCAACCAATAAATGGGTCCGTCACCGACATCTCACTCGTGTGTAAAAACCCATCAAAGCCCCGACGAGTTTCTTCCTTCCCTTCATGCCCCACCATATTCTCATGTATCTCCCTAATAAAAAGAAATGCGCCTACCTTGGTTCCACCATACCATTTCATTTTCTTCTTCCTCTTTCTGGCCACACTTTGTCACTAGTTGTTCTTTCCCACTTCGAAGGCACCGCAT